CCCCAAAACCCCAAAACCCCAAAACCCCAAAACCCCAGATTTTGACACTTTTGTTGAGAGGTTTTATGAGGACTGATCTTGTGAGAGTAGTACCAAGCTTTGTTTACAAGGTCTATGGGCGGCTGAGTTAGTCCGTGAATCCCACAGTTTATCTCATAAGGCTCGGTTTAGCCCATATACTTTCTACCTTTGTGGATTGAAGTCAGGTTGAGTGATTTGCCATGATTTCTATTCTGCTTGGGAAGATTGTGATCTTTTTCTGCAAAATTTTACTCTTGAATGCTTACTCTTAGTGAGAATTTGTGAGACTAGGTCCTTGGCTGACTGCTGCTCTTCTTTCCTATACATTAGCTTAATTCCTCTACTTTTTAGTGACCAATTTGTTGTAATCGGCTTCTTGAATAGCCTTTAGCTTGCAAAATTTCATGTGTTTATTTATCAAGATTGTTGTAAGGATGAACCTGAAAGCCAGTGTTCTGGTCAGGAAACATCTTTTGACTCATCCTTGCCTCCATTGGGGTTCTAAACTATTAAAGAGAGATACCTCTTAGAGGATAATTTGAACCCATCTGTTCTGTTTAGCACCCTCATCACATGATCTTTAATCTTTTGGAGGTGGCTCTTCCTACATAATTGTGTTACCGTACTCACAGAACGGGTGCATTAGAAAGAAAATATGAATTACCTCTGAAATTCTTGTGAGTCAAGTAACTGCTTATAATCGTCACGAGCCATCTCTGAACAGTCAAGAGGGAGGATTACCTTCCATCTTTTGGTGTCTGGTGCCGTCAATTTTGGACTCAGCTAATTGCTTATTGTAGTGAAAAAGCTCTCGGGTTTTTATCTGAACGTTTCAATTTTTAACCAGTTCTGAGTCTTGAGATCTTTCTCATGCTCCTAGAGGTGAGGTGAGGGGACTTCTTACCATTTTGTACTGTTTGGCTAGTCTCTCATCTTCGAGTCTTTCGTTAAGAAGCATGGTTTCTTTGAGGTTTGAGGACTCGGCCAGGTCGTTTAGGACCATTTTTCTGAATTCTTTCTGATGTAAGCTTCTATTTTATGTCCAGACTGTTTAAGTCCTACTGGATTAGTATGGAAATTATACGTTCGAAGCACTATTTCGGTGCTCCCTTCTAAGACTAGAATTATGGTCTGTTCGGTCTACAGAGTTAAGAAATGTGACTACTTCGAAGGTGGGGGATACCAGTGTGAAGGCCTGCTTCCTTTCTGTTGCTGCTACTGTTAATCTCTAGAGATTATGGCCAATAAGCACCAGGAATCATTCTTTTGATACGAGATGAGACTTTCTGGAAGCTCCTTTCTCTAAAGGAGCCATGCTGGTAGCTCAAAGTTTTCTAAAGATTAGGAGAAATGAGATACTAAGGACCTATCTAGGTTCATTGGGTGTTTTTCTTTCATGTCTATAGGCTAGAGAGGTTATGTTACCGACACTTCTCTGGCTACTATTGAGTGTATGCATCATAGCCCTTTTTCCATCTCTCTTTTGGCTCTTATGCCTACTCAATGAGTGATAGGAAAGAAACCTGATATTCTGGAGGGCTGGTATTGAGACATTTGCTGATGAATCCCTAAGAAATTTATGTGTGAGTCCTTACCTTGTTTGGATATCTCTGACACATTGGCTTATCATAGACTCTGTGAAGAGGATCGGACCTTTGTGAGTCTTGTTGTTTCTATGAAGTTTTATTAAAGTTAGCAGTTAAATTTACTTGTAGAGATCAATCCAGTCTAGGATCTGATGTTCAAGGCTCTATGAATCAACCAAGCTATGTACACTAGTCTTTTGCTGAGGCTTGAATCTTTTCATTATTCTGAGTACTATGATCTTCTGCAAATTCTCTGAAAGTTTCCGGGACTCTGGGCTTCTCTGGCCGTAGTGATTCAGGTCTACATCTAAGAAAGATTGGCTTACTGCTCTTGTTAAGGGACTTCTTGCTATTGTTCCTCTAAATTTGATCAGGCATTTTGCAGCTGATGGGCATTCAATTTTTAAGGAAGCTTACTGATGCTCTGAATGTCTTGAAGGTATACCTCTTCTTTGGATGGTACGCTGCGGCTCTATGTAGTTTTGATTGAGACATTTTTATTTCAATTGTAAATAAAATTTCTGGGGTTTTGGGGTTTTGGGGTTTTGGGGTTTTGGGG